AGGGAGAAAACTCGTTATACCAAACTAAATTGAAAATGTTATATTGATAACGTAAAATACTTTCTTGTGTTTCGTTTTGCACACAATACAGTAAATTCTCTCCAATTGTCCCTCAGTTTATAAACAAAAATGGACAATTTGAGAAGAGGAAATACGATTACTGGAGCCTTGTGCTTCGATCTTATAGTTGCTGACAATCAGAATTCCAAATTGAATCAACAATTGGAAAGAATTTATTATATACAGATGCATGAATTCGTTCTTGTGTTTACGTTTGCGTATTAATTATTATTAGACTGCGAATCTTTATGCTAATTCTTATTTTCATGTACACTATTTTACCAAAATCAGAATTAAAGAAATGCTTCCACAAAGAATCCATAAAAATGCTACCTTGATATTATATATACAGCTTCTTGCATTTTAGAAGTCTTCATATTGCATAAATGGATAAAGATCTGCAGTCTAATAGCTACTTTCGAAAATGCGAACACATTGAAGTATCGAAGATCATATGTTACGTTTCCCTGAAAATTTCAACTTCCCTCCCCGGTGCAGGTAACGCTAACAAACCGATGATCGAATTGGAGTCGTCTTCGGCGATGCTCTCGCTTCAATTCAATCCCCGAGATATATCGATGTTGATCAGTGGTCATATGTCCGGACAAGTGTGCTGCTGGGACATCCGAATCGGCGGGAAACCGATGCATACGTCGGACATTTACTACAGTCATAGGTATCCTTTCCAACTCACATAAATCTTACCTTTTCAGAATAGATGCTTCGCAGGGAATGTAAAAGTCACGTATTCTGATCACGTCTTTTTCACCGCTGACACATTTGACCTCCGCTTAAATTATTGGACTGCCAATATTTAAATTGCTACCAATTTATCGCGAGCAAATTACTATATCAATTTCTTCAAAATCTTGTATCGCTTTTAGCTGGTTTACAAAACGTATTACTATTTTAAACAGTGTAGTTTAAAAAATAGTAAGTAGCCGCCACAATTTTTCGAGCACTTCCGCGGTCTGACAAAAAGATGTTTCAAACAAAAGTTGATCAGTTTTCGATCAGCCACAGATTGCAAAATAAAAAATGTAAGAAAGAACGTTTTACTCAAAAAAATGATCTTGATGTAATGTAAACTAAAACAATTTTCAACGAAAATATTGCTTCATTGAATTCATTTTTGCGACGTCAAAATCATCCAAAGGTCATGGTACAACAAGTTGTAAACCTGTATAGAATGAAACGTATACCATGCAATTTTTTAAGAAAAAGAAGGTGGCTTTGGTTTTTTGGTATAATCTAATACTGCAATCTGCAGCTGTCCAAAAACTATTTAATTTTCGTTTGGAACATTTTTTTCTCGGACTATCGGAAGTTCTCGAAAAATCGCAGCAACAGTTACGTGGAACACCCTGTGAATATATTTAATAAAATACTGTATCACTAGTTTAAAAACTAGTAACGATCACTTTGCTTATTAAACAATAGTACCATTAGTTTAAAATATATCGGTGTATCACTCGCATAAATTGTATCACTGGTTTAAAAAATAGCAACGACTACTCTACGATTAAACAGTGACAAGAATTTTTGTTTCGGATAGAAAATTAAATTGACTAGTCATATTTGAAAAAGGTATTTATAAAAATATATCCACCCGAGTTGTTGGTTTCAAATAAAATGATGTTGAAGATATTTAATCTTTCGGAAAGACCGTTTTCGGTTAATGTTTCGAGAAAATGAAATCGCGGCACAACGGTTTCGCTGGTCAGACATAATTCGTGCTTGTTATCTTCGCAGCAATGCGACTGATACTGGCTACGACAAACTCGGCAGAAACTTTATAACACCGTGCAGCGCATTCGAAATTCCTCGCCCGAACCACATATTTTATCGGGTAACGAGTTTGAATTTCAGACTTCATTAAACGAAATTTATGCGTTTGTTTGACCAGCGGCGAGCGGCAGATAATGTCGCGTCGCACGAAGCGTGAAAATAACAATCTATCACAATAGGAACGTTGTTATTACATATATTACACCGCGCAGTGTAAAGTAGCAAATGATACGTTTGTTATAGAAATAAAAATTAATCTAGCAAAATGATTTTATTAGAGGAAAGCTTTTTAGTAAAGTTTATCGCGATTTTATTTGTATAATTTCAATAGTTACTTATTGCAATCATGACACTTCAATTCTGTCATTTTTTCTTGCACCAGCTTAACGTTACTCTGCTGTTTTTGTAATATTTTATGAAACTTTTTAGGTTTTCTTATAACTTCGAATCCCTCTCTGGAAAATTTTAGAGTAATTTTTGGAAATTTATTATACGTAAACTGAATATAGTAGAGCTAAAAGTTGTAGATAAAGAACATTTTTCAATCGACGCTCTTCAAAGTAAACGCCATCAAACTCGGTGCGCAACAAAAATTTGTTTACAATACTGCATCGTATCAAAATAACTATGCAAAAGGTTCCACAGCTCGACATCATCTAGGTCTCTCTCTTGCATAATAATCTCCTCCTTAATTTAAAACTATTCTTTTGTTGTTAATACAAAGAAATCCAGCGACAAAATGCCTATGGACGTCTTCCAAGGCCAACACCGAGTTCTTCTCGTCTTGCTCCGGCGGCACAGTCATGTGGTGGGACATTAGGTTCATGAATACACCCATCAGCGTTATGGTTATGGATTTGGACAATCCAAGGCGAGCCAACAGATTCAAGGCAGTCGGCATCACGGCGCTTCACTACGAGCATACGATGAGCAATAAATTTTTAGTCGGTTTGGTGAACGGCCTGGTCTTCAACATCAACAGGAAAAATATTTCACCCGATGAACAGTTTACGATGAAGTTCGAATGCTATACCGGGGCTGTGCACGCTTTAGACAGAAATCCGTTCGTGCCGAAGAATTTCCTATCGATAGGCGATTGGTCGGCTAAAATATGGTCGGAGGACACGAGGGAAAGCTACCTGTTCAATACCCGGTACCATTTTCATTGACTTCTCACTAATATTTTTTTCACACCTCGAACTTACCTATTTTACGTATCAAACTAATTATGCACTTCGCCGAGTACATTTATTTTCTGTCTTATACAGATTGTTTATTCCGAATTGGATCAAAAATCTAGTTCCATGAATTATTTCATAAAAATCAGAAAAATTTCTTTCGATTGTTTGTACTGCAAATACGATAGTATTGCATGCACTGCTTTATTTGAATATTTAGCGCGTATCGTAAATGCATAAAGATCTGCAGTATTTTGCTTAAGAATACTAAGAGATCAATGCGACATAATTTTATAAAATGTGACACAGTTTCATGTTGTTTTTAGCCCAATCGAATTACCAATATAAGAATTAGTATTTTAGTTGGTCTAACAATTTCTAGATTTATTTATAAAATTCAAAAAATATGCATAACGAGATATAAGAATGAAACTAAAGTTCGCTGAGTGTTAATTGGATAAAAATATTTTCATTTTACCCCTTTGCGCTCGAAGCTAGTTTAACTCTTAAAATGAGACATTTCCTTCGATCTACTTTTATTACATTTTATACGAATGCTATTCAACTTATTGGCTTTTATATGTCATTTACAGTTTGAACGATGTTTCAAATACAGGGTGTTCCATAATTATGTTAATACCCGGAAAGGGGTGATTCCTGAGCTCATTTCAAGTAACTTTTTCTTTAGTGAAAATGCAATCCGCGGCTTTGTTTAAAAGTTATTAACGGAAAACACTGACCAATGAGAGGCGAGCTCGCCTAGTGTTAGGCGGCTGAGCCAATCAGCGGAATTGGGCTTCGACCGCTCGTTGGCTCAGCCTCCTTGCGCCAGCTGAGCTTGCACCCCATTGGCCAGTGTTTTTCGTTAATAACTCGTAAACAAAGCCACGGATTGCATTTTCGCTAAGGAAATAGTTACTTCAAATGACCTCAGGTATCTCCCATTTTCGGCTGATAAAGTAATTATGGAACATCCTGTATATCAGAATTCGCTGCCGTAAAAATGATCTTGGAAAATGTCATAGTTCATTTTCGATGATGTCGCACAAATTTGATCTGCAAAACGTAAAAATATTTGGCGAAGCAATTGACATCATAGAACACAACTTTTCAATTTTTATTTGCTTCAGAGTCATTCCACACCAAATTGATCACTTTTATCTTCCCATGTATGGAATTTTGTTCAAATTGAAATATGATGTAATCCATGAGATATTAGAGGGGATCATCATCTTGCTAATTTCGAATTTGTTTAAAAAATACAGGCCTCTGAAATTAACAATTTTTGTCCATTTTTGTGAAAATGGGTGATATACTTAGGAATTTNGGCTTTGTTTAAAAGTTATTAACGGAAAACACTGACCAATGAGAGGCGAGCTCGCCTAGTGTTAGGCGGCTGAGCCAATCAGCGGAATTGGGCTTCGACCGCTCGTTGGCTCAGCCTCCTTGCGCCAGCTGAGCTTGCACCCCATTGGCCAGTGTTTTTCGTTAATAACTCGTAAACAAAGCCACGGATTGCATTTTCGCTAAGGAAATAGTTACTTCAAATGACCTCAGGTATCTCCCATTTTCGGCTGATAAAGTAATTATGGAACATCCTGTATATCAGAATTCGCTGCCGTAAAAATGATCTTGGAAAATGTCATAGTTCATTTTCGATGATGTCGCACAAATTTGATCTGCAAAACGTAAAAATATTTGGCGAAGCAATTGACATCATAGAACACAACTTTTCAATTTTTATTTGCTTCAGAGTCATTCCACACCAAATTGATCACTTTTATCTTCCCATGTATGGAATTTTGTTCAAATTGAAATATGATGTAATCCATGAGATATTAGAGGGGATCATCATCTTGCTAATTTCGAATTTGTTTAAAAAATACAGGCCTCTGAAATTAACAATTTTTGTCCATTTTTGTGAAAATGGGTGATATACTTAGGAATTTTTATCTCGGAAACTATTAGTCGTATCGACATGCACTTTTTTTCATTGTACATACTCGGAAAGGATCCGTCTTTCTAAATAAATTTCGATCTGATTGAAACATTATTCTAACGATTTCAAAAATTATAAACAGATTCTTATTTTTAAAATACAGCTTCGGGGACGTGTTTTTAAAAATTTTCTTTAAATACTATAGTATTTTTTCCTTGGACTTCTTTCTACAAAAATATATGTCACATATAAAGTCACAGTGAAGCGTCGAATATGGCGATGCGCCCCGTTAGCAACTCCAAAATCGTTATTGTGATGAGTTAGATTTGCTTTAGCGGACAGCAGGCATAGTATTCATGTACCGGTGATTCCTCATGCAAAGCCGTATGCCCCCCGTATAATCCCTGCAGGATTATTTTTAAAAAAGGTGTCATTGGCTTCTGCCGATATAAATGATACTATCATAGTGATTGTGAGCTTCATGAATTATGTTTTTATACTCCGTTATAGGTTGATAGTGGTTCGGTTCGCCGACCGTCATAACGGATCGCGCGGTCCATTTACCTGAACTGTCTGTTTACACTGCCTACGAACAACACATATTTTTGTAGAGAAAAGTCCAAGAATTTCTATAGTACTTTTTTAGATCTTTTAGAAACGCGACTTCGAACTCGCATTTACAAAATAAGGGTTTGTTTGTAATTTACGATGTTTTCAAAACAATTTTTCAAGGTGATCGAAATTTATTTAGAAAGATGGATTCTTCCAAAGACAACGAAAAAAAAGTGCATGTCGATGCGACCAATAGTTTCCGAAAGAGAAATTCCTAAGTACCATCCATTTTCGTAAAAATGGGCAAAAATCATAAGTTTCAGACGCCTGTATTTTTTTTTTATTCGAAACTAGCCAAATGACGGCTCAAATCCCCCTAATATCGTACGGGCTACATCATATTTCACTTTGAACAAAATTCCATAGATGGAGGGAAAAGATGGAATAATCCTTGAATAAGAAACTTTAATTTTATAAAATTGTTGTGGTTGTTAGAAGTCGAAGCGTTAAAAGTTTTTCCTGGATTATGAGAAACGATTGAACGATTCTTCCCGCATAAAATCAAAATTATTTTCACAATGCATATGTTACAAGAGAGTGATCGATACAATATTTTGAGCAGCGAGCAGAAAGTGAGCTTGACTGGCGGCTGTTGGAGCAGATCTAGGGGTTCGATATTTTTCACCACGAATAAAGATGGCCTGCTGGAAGCGTACGATATTCTGACGGGTATGCAAAACCCATTGGCTTCGATTCACGTCTGCAGCGATAGCTTGACCGCGATCAGTCCTAACGATGAGGGCGAATTGATTGCCGTTGGCAGCTCGAAAGGCACGGTTTACATATTGGAATGTCTCGAAGGTCTCACCTCGTTCAGCAGAGAAGACAAAGGTCACTTACTTAGTGTGAGTACTTTTTGCAAATTTACATTTCTTTATAAAAATCATGTTGCTAAACATAGTTACAATAGAAATTCGAATTGAGACAGTTGTACACCATTTGTCATCAACATCTGATAAATTTTTTACCAATTGATTCAAAATTCATTTCTGTTTCAAAAAAAAAGTTCTTATTTTTCCTTTTGTATTATGAAAATCTGTGTAGATTGAAAATGTTGCAATAAAATCGTACTATCTGCAATGTAAATTTTCGAGAGGTTAAATAGAAGGCTTTTTAAACTAATTATCAAATATTGGAAGTACATTATCCATCTCATTCAGGGCATTAATACGTGAACATATCTATGTAAACATATTTTCTTAAAAATATGATATTTCAATACACATTATATACGGTGGTATAAAAGCATTCCTCGGAATAAAAGTTGACCCATTATCTGCCTCTCGACACTGCAAAAGGTGCGACACTTACTGTCCGTGTTGCAAAATATATGCCCGGATCAATTTGTCGAGTTAATCTCAACGACGATATACGGATCCATATATTTCATACATCGATGCGAAAATAACTTTGTAATCTTAATAATACTAAAATTTTATAAGATTAACATAATTTTATTATGATAAAAGTACATTAATAAAACATTATAAGGTATTACTTATTATTGTATGGTATAACTGCGATAAATTATTTTGAGCACAACTAGGGTTTGGGTTGGTTTGAATTCGAATAACTACAACCTCTGACAAAAAATTTCCGATCATATACGATTGTATAAAATTTACGAAGAATTGCATTTTAGAATTATAAAATGTTCTTTTATGCAGGTAAGACGAATAGAAAACGTAGGTAGGATCTAAACGAAGTAAATAAATACATAATAGCGCAATTTTTCATTTGTTATCAAAAAGAAACCACAGAGAAAGCAAAATGTTATGAAGAAAAAAGTTTCTGACCAGTATAAATGTTCGAAAAAAAGTTTCCGATCATCGTTCAAATATTATAACTAGCTCCATGAATGTTTCAAGTGGACGAAACAGGCGTAAGCACAACTCGAGCCTATGAAAATGTAAACAAACGCTTTTACCGCTGAGGCATCTGAAATACAAATCATTTCAGTTAGGGGATAAGTAAGACGGACGTGTGCAATAGGGCATCGTGTAAGTTACATTCAAACGATTTAGAGTTAAGAGTAATCGAACTTCTCAAGCAAAGTAATGGTCAAAAAAAAGTAGTAGAAATTATAGGATATAGTCAGAATACGATAAGTGATATAAAAAAGGAGTATAATGGAAGAGGCAATGTATCTGACCGTAAGAAAAGTGGTCGTCTCGTGCAGTGAGTAGAAAAGACGATAAAAAATTGCGTGCAATTGTTAAAAATATGAGGCGAGCAACATCACAACAAATAAGTGAACAGTGGTCTTCGAGCGTCTGTGACCGTACTGTCGGAAATCGATTAAATGAAAGGGGTTTCTCATTTCGGAAGGCAAAAATAAAACCTTTACTCACAAAGGAACACAAGAAAAAAGGCTTAAAGTGGTGTGAGGAACACGCAAGTTGGACTGTAGAGGACTGATGCAAAGTAATATTTAGTGTCGAGACTCGTGTTTGTCTTGAAACAGGGGATGACGAAAGAAAATTTGTTTGGCGGAGATCTCGCGAAAAATTTAATGAAGATTGCATGAATTATAAACAAAAATGTCCGCAATCTTATATAGTAAGGAGTTGTATGACAGAAATGGGAGTAGGAAAACTATGCATTGTATACCAGAACGTGAACGCAGAAACATATATTAATATTTTAAACGAATTCTTAATTCCAAGCATAGAAGAGTAGTTCGGAGATTCTCCAGATTTCATTTTCCAAGACGACAACGCTAGCTGTCATCGCAGCAAATTAGTAAAAATCTGTTTAGAGCAAAATCATATTAAAATATTGAAGTTGCCTGCGAACAGTCCCGATTTGAACCCAATCGAGAACATGTAGACAAAATTAAAAAAATTGATTCGCGAGAAAAAATCAAAAACTAAAGAGGATCTTCGACATGCGATAAAATTGTCGTAGAAAGAAATTTCGCCTAGGTATTGTGAAAACCTAGCAAGGTCAATGCCCCGACTCATTAAAAGTGTCATACGAGCACGTGGTAATATAACTCAATGATCGGAAACTTTTCTGCAACATTTGTATTGATAGAAAATTTTTATCCTACGTAACACTTTGTTTTCTCTTCGGTTTCTTTTTAATAATAAATGAAAGATTATGTTATGATGTATTCATTTACTTTATTTAGATCCCATCTACGTTCCCCAATCGTCTCATCTGCATATAAGAAACGCATTTTATAACTCCAAAATGCGAATATTGTTTACAAATTGTACATTAGCGTATATGATCGGAAACTTTTTGCTAGGGGTTGTATTTTCCCGGTCTTCAAGTGGCAGTCTTAACGACTGAATGATCGACCGGTATCAAGAAGGTAATGCCTCCTTGCGGTGCCTCTCTGGTATCGCGAGATTAGTTTCACCGTCGAAAAATTTAATCGGGAGACTTCAAAGAGCGAGGCATCCAGAGCATTTACAGGGAAATCGATTCCCGGTGAGTTCTCGGAATGTACAAGACTGCGTTTACGTTCTTCCCTAGTACATGGAGGGGGCCAACAGATTCGAGAGGGTGTTGGATAACCGGCTGAGGGAAATACGGTTGTATCGTAGTACCATCGACGAGGGGCCGGTCGAACATGTGGGAAAGTCGAAAGCAAAGATCAAAGCGAAGGAGGAACCGAAGGCAAAGAAGAAGATCGAGGATACGAAGAAGAAACCGAAGGAGGACAAGAAACTGAAGAGGGTTAGGTCGAAGAGGAAGGAATCCGCTCTGGTCGATGTCGATCTGATCGAGGCGCAAAAACGTTATTTTGAAATCGTCGAAGCGGTAGGTTACACGAAAATCACAATATTGGTCTATTGTAATCGATCTATAGTGTACCATAAAATAGAAGCTGGACGATATTGTATTTTCAGCTTCTTAAACGCGGCAACGAATGAAAAAGTCTCTCTCGTCAATTTTGAACCTTTTGCATTCGGAAGATTTTTCTGATATACAGTGATTCTTATTAATATTCGGACGCCTTTCAGAACAGAATATAACTGTTTCAAAACTGGGCTAAACGACTTGAATTTTTAATCTCAAATGACAAAGGTACTAGTCTTCTAGACAATTACTGGAATGCTTTTTTTAATTTTGCTGTTGTTTGGAATGATAAAAGAAAAGAAAAGAACTTCCATTTTTTAAAACTTTTTTAGCTGAGACTATAACGAAAATGTAAGACATGCATTTCGTAGAACTCAGCAACATATTTGCATGCTGAAAATTTCGTCGAAATCGGTCGACCTTAGCACGTGTAGTAAATAATTAAAGATCGCGATAATCGCAGTTTTGTCCCGATTTTTGACACATTCGACCGATAACTATCAGAGATCTGATAGATTTCGATGATATTTTCAGCACACATATAAGTTACCGAGATTTACGAAAGGCATTTTTTGAATTTTCGTCCTAACCACGGATAAAAAAGTTAAAAAACGAGAGTTAAATATTTTTGTTTCGTCATTGCAAGTAATAGCAAAATTGTAACAAATTAGTCCCGTTTTAAAACAGTTACAGTGAATTCTTCTTAATTGGCGCTCAGATTGTGCACAAAAATGGACAATTTGAAAAGAGGGGATACGATTATTATATAATTTCCGATTATCAACTGTTATAAACGCGGGCCACAAGGCTCGAATAATCGCATCTCCTCTTCCGAAATTGTCCATTTTTTTCGTACAATCTGAGCGTCAATTAGGGAGAATTTACTGTATTCCGTTTTGAAAAGTAGCCGAATATTAATAAAAGTCACTGTACCTATCAATATGTATAATAACCACCTGCAGTGTGGTCAGTAACTGGTGGTACAACCAGGAGGGGGCTGTTTCTGGGAGCTGATTCTACATAGAAATAGAAAACAAAAATGTAGAATAATATTTTTTCATTTAAGGCTCCTTTTTCGAGAAAAATTAGATTGAAAAATGGTACTATTGAACAGGAATAAATTGACACGTCTGGCCGTGACACACCAATTCTACTTTTAGCCGTACTACACGCCACGTAAACTTGACGCTTCTGCAAACTCAATTTTCTCGAAAACAAAGTCTTGAATGAAAAAATTTTATTGTCTTTTGTGACTTATTCTTGCATGTAGAATGTTTTCTCTTCCGGTTGTACCACCAGTTACTGAACACCCTGTTTGTACATTTATTTTATTATAATATACCAAAAGTTGAACTGACGTAAAAATTACGGGTCACCGTTGATTAGAAATTTGAAAATATCTTTATTAAATTGAACATTGTTGTGACAAACTCCTCTTTTCCCTGTGTTATAAAGATCATTAGATCATATCTTGTACCAAAGAGATAGGTGCAAAGCAAGTATACTAAACATTCAACTACGGGTCAAGAATGACTCGGTGTCGCCTCGCAGTGCCGAACATTTACGTCAGCTATTCGAGGATTAATTATGTATTTTACACGATTACTTCTGTATGCAATATTCCTCTGAAAACTTTTTGTTCACGAATCAGTACTTAAATATTAGATTACTATAAAAATTGAATTAATGATTGCTATAAAAAATTAATTGAATTAATTACTCGACTTGACAAAAGCTTGACAGCAAACTTGACAAAAGGAAGCAAAAGCGAACGAAAACAGTCTTTTCCATTATACATATAAAACCTATCAAAGGCAGAGAGTTGATTTTTGCAATTCGTTTGTATTAGTTTTATAATGCACGGCTATGTAGATCGAATAAATATCGAATAAATAACGAATAAATATCGAATAATCATACAAATCAGAAGATTTGAAAAAGTTTGAATAAGTTAAAAATAATGTAGCAACATTTTTTAATTCTTCCGATGACATCACCGTTTTGTGTTGCACTTACCATATTTTTATTTTTTATATATTTATATATTTTATACCACATTGTTACCATAAATGCATACACTTTACAGTCTAATTATGACACGTTTAAATATTTCGTGAATAATCATTGTCAGTACCGACTAGACGTCAGATTCGACTAGATCATTCGAACGTCTTTCGGTTCCGTCTTGCAGAATCGATTTAAAGAAAGTTTTACGCAAGACGAATTTATAGATTCGTTCATTATTCGCAAGAAATTCTGAAATTTTTCTCAAGGGAAAAAATACAATGGCGCACGGTTAAATTTACACGAAAAATTGAACGATTATATTTACACGACAATCGAATGGTTAAAATTTGAACGACCCACTCTCGTGAAATACAATTTTATAATTGTAACACGGATGGATAGCTTAAAATGAGTTCAATATACGTTTACATCGGACTATGTTTATTCGCAAACATATTATTATCGAATACTTATTAATTAATCCGAAAATAGCTCAAATTCATTCGTATTACATCTTGTATGGATTCATTTTAATCAGACAAATCTCAGCCATCCATTGATGCTACATTTGCAGAAATAAGACAATAATTACGAAAAATGAAATTTTCTTTATTGCACATTTACTTTTTGCTGGTGTCGGTATCCCCTTATAGTCATGAACAAATACACTGGTATTCTTATAAACGACTTTGTTTCCGTTTCAAGCTGGAAATATCTTGTTTACTAAAGAACCCCTTTTGGCGTATTGTTAGCGAGACAATACATCTATTCCTTCAAGGAACGATATGCACTTAATTAAAAGTCCCGTCCGTTAGGTTGACAATTTCTTTTGGACCTCTGTACAATAAGGTGGTGGAGCCATAATATAATAATTAACTTTAGATTTATGGAGCAAGACAGATTAAATTTCTTTATTCGAATTCAATTAATTATTTATTGGTTAAAATTAAACACATGCAAGACGGAAATTCTTAAAAGAGAACAAATATTATTTCATTTTTCTTATACCGAATTCGCGAAATTTTCTGTAATGTTTATAAAGAAGCTTAGGAAAATACTGAACATATGAAGATCAATATTCAGTAAAATAAATTGTTCTAGGTAAGATATCAAAATGATAATTGTATCGGTGAAATGTATTAAGGTTGTGGAAAAACAAAACAGTAATTATTTATTTGAATTTTTGTGTTTACTTTCAATTTCAGTAGTTTATTTACTGTGCACAGCAACTGAGCCTATTTTTCACTCGAAATGTTAGTTACTGTGCCGTTTTCGACGCAATAGGCTTACATAACCTCAAATCTCAAATCATCTCTGTCATATCTTGAAAGAGGAAAAATGTTACAGCAATGATCTCTAATGTGAACTTTTAAATGACTTATTATAATTTTACATTTTTTTATAGAAAATAAAATTTATTGAAGTATATTAGGTATTACATTTTTATTGTGCACATTTATCGATGATCAGTATTCATGGAGTGAGCACAGTAACTAAAGCAAAGTATTCAGAAATGGAGCACAGTAACTGATCTTTGTAGATAATAGATACACAGTAACTAGTTCCAGAACCTTTTCTTCATTCTCCTAATATTCAAAGAAGATTTAATATTTTAAAAATTAATACCAATAAAAGAAACTTTGAAAATCTTTCTCTATGTTTTTAAGAACTGTTAACTAAAAAAGTTGCTTAAGTTGTTTTGGCTAATTGGCTCCACTACCCTAGGGCACCGAACACCTCATCGGCGGCCTACTTTAATTTATGGTAGGCCCGCCAACTCTCACCATTATGGTTACCTGCTCGAGATTTCCCGCTATCTGCACCACTAGCCAATCAATTTCTAGATTTTGGTTTTGAAGAATTATAAAACCCAAAAACACCTCGTTTTCCTGCTTAGTCCGTTTAAGTCTCTTCGAGGCTTGAACCATCGTCTTTGATCTAATCTCTGACCCGAGTCTTTGGCTATGGCCGAATTCAACTATCCATCCACACCGATCGATTACAGATATGTTTACAGTTAAATCTTGTATAATTTATCCGTAAATATTTGTAGACACGCGTATTAAAAAACTGGCTGTTTATCTTTAATTGGAGAAACAGCGATAGTAAGAAGGCAGTGTTCTGGTATCGAGTGCTCGCGCGAGTCACCTACAGACACCTTATAAAGTGCCCCGTGGCGTTTATATTTACATGCTGACTCTCGAATCGACGTAAATTTAACCGTGCACCGCTGTATCGTATCCTAGCCTCTGCAAAGCGGCAAAAGGATTCGCAGCCTGCGAATCGCAGGTGATGCTCGAATATACCGAGGATCGTTCGGCAGCTGAAACTTCACTTTTTCGAGCAGGAGATTGAGAAAATGGTGGACATCGATCCGGAGGACAAGGCGGCGGTTCAATCGTTGCTGGAAATGCGAGTGGTGATGAAGTCGGAAGATCCGTCCGAGCAGGAGGAGGAGGACGATCTGCCGAAAGTCAGGAGCCAAAAGTCCATCAGGATGAGAAAGATGCCGAGGCGACCGAGGAAAACCAGCTTGACAGTTGCCGAATCGGACTTGTTGATAGAGCCCATCATGGCCGACGATAAGGCCGGGCATAGGGGCAAGGGAGCGAGGCGTTACTCGATCTTGAAGACTTGCCCGCTGGAAGTCTGCAAGCCGGAAATTTGTTGCAAGGACGTAATGGGTAAGACTGTTTCTGGTCGAAAGTTTGCGGAAAATCGCGTTTTATTCGATGAAATGCAATTTCCTTTCGTGCCTGTTTCCGCCATCTTCCTCCCCCTCCCCTCCCGCCGTTTTCCCTTCGACCTCTTCTTCGTTTCGAGCCGCGACGCCCACCGACGCGAAATCTTTATTCCGCGCGGGGAATCGGAAGCAGCTGGAACTTCTCCGAGCGGACGACTTATTTTGTCCGATCGTCGATGAATGGCGCCACTTCGAGCGGCAACCTTTTCACCAGAACCGATCGGTTTTTCGAGAACTCGATTCCTCGAAATTATATTTCCCACCCGGTCCCCGCCGTTCTCTAATTCTTAATGGAAGCGTCGCAGTCTTCTCTTCTCGAGGAGTTCTCGCGCGAGATTTCTCGCAGAAGGAAACAAGGACTTCGAGCGAATCCAAAAATTAGAAGACAGATTACGGAGACCGATGGGCTTGTAAATCACTGAAGTTTCTTTGTTAACTAGCGAACGAATTTTTTCATTGATGGATGGTCGCTGCGAAGCTGGTTGGGGATGCATTTAAAGGGGATGCATTTTTGCAGAAACTTTTTTAATAAGGTGGATCTAGAGAGATTTGATTTCTCTGGTGCATATATATATATTCATTTGAGTTACTTTAGTTTCTTACTGAATTTATTGGTGAGAAGCTGACGGACTAGTTCTTATTCGATGCTTCGAATCTCTAGCTTACTATGATACCTGGAAAACAGAATATAAACTGACTTGTGCAAAGTCACTAAAATCTACACAAATGGTAAATGTAGAATATTTTGGAAAATATTTTGCGTTGATTTTGGATATTTTGTGGACTAATAATTCATTATTTAAAATTACACAGAACGTAAAATTTGAGAAAATAGAATCAGAGATTTTGGAAACATTATGGATGAACAGTATATATTTAAAGTTCACGAAATGTATAATGTTTAGAAATGAGAATGGAAGGTTTCAGACACTTTATGAACTAATAATTAATTAATTAATGATATCGAATGTTCGAATGTTTACAGGAAATCTAAACAGCTTACTATACACATATAAAAATGAACGAAAAATGACGATGACACAGTAACAAATTTTGTGCATTTCAAGAAGCATTTTAGCGTCTTAACGCTAAATCTATCGAGGGGTACAATTGATTGGCTCGCATTGTTCCATAAAAACGAAAAAATCCAAATTATTCAAATCTTGTATAGTTTTATCGTATTAGCTGATATTTATAGTGATATTTATTTTGATATTATATAGTTATAGATAGAATATAGAATATCTACATAGAATTTATTTAGATATTATTATACTATAGTGATATTTAATCGATCATTTCCCATGAAACTGTCTTTATAATGTTTACAATTGCAAAATGAGAAACCGCTTGTTCAATCATGATTGATTTAGCGTTAAATCTTTCGCAATGAATCACGAGATACCCAATCAAGTACCAAACGTAAAAAGCCGAGATTGAGTCTCGAGATCGATTGGACTACGGTGTATATATATGTTTATTTAATCCGTGTTACAAGATTCATTCATTTTTTTCTCCCTAACACTTGTAAAACTCTTTCAGAGTTCTTTTTTGTACTTCTTACCACCGACAGAATCGTTTAAAACGATGAAAAAAAATTACATACCTTTTCTTGTCGAAATTCATAATCTTATTCCACTATGAAAGGGTCAATGAATTTTATATCTCGACTTCAATCGTGTACAAACGTCCGTGAATCGCACAAACTGTTGGCGTTTCTTTCAAGTGATCGATGCAGATTTATCGAGGATCGAATCGGCCGCGACAGACGGATTATGTGGGCGGGAATAAAAATGTTCAAATAAGTCATTATGGGATCAAGCGCACTCGATACGACGTACAGAAGCGAGTGGTTCTCACGAGTTTAAGTGAAGTCTCTCCGAAGCGCAGCTACTCGCGGAAAGTCGGAAATAAAACAGGAACACTTGAAGTGTCACTCGAGGTCCGTATATAGCTTCTTTGCTATTCAATAATTTCCGCGGAATTTCGAAAAGTGGTTCCAAGCTGGAGGAGACGACGGGATACGAATGTAGGTTACAAACCTTGCACCGTGATCCTTGGCCTTTATTCTATCCCGTATCGATCGTCCCGGGATCTGTGCCAGCGTTCCCCGAAATTTAATGCCGAATTTATCGTTCCCTGTCCCGGCGATTGCTTCCCTATAGCCGCGGAACGATTTTTGTTACCCGAAAAATCACTTAAAAACGATATCCGGTCGTCCGAATCGACGATCAATCGGTCGCCGCTGATCGATGATCGAATCGATCGGTTAAAACAATTACACGGTAAAATCTTTCGAAAACATTCTCGAATTGCTGACTTCGATCGCGGTGCAGTTCCGCTTCGGTCTGATTTATCGGAGTCGTTCATGAGGATAATTAAATTTTATTCGCATGGGAAATCGGCCGGAGGTCCGATTTCGATATGTTTTTAATGTTATACAGTGTTCGAGGAAAATATTTGACGTTCTCGTATTTTATATTCCACATTTGTTATGTGCTTCGAATAAATACTTTTTTCATATAACTCGTGGAATATTTTGCTTCGGAGTACACGATTTATTCAAATGACAAATTTTTTAAACGTCTTTCCATCTTTTATTCCAGAGAGATATTTTATTCCTTTGGCGATGGTGAATACAATGAGATATATAATACGTATTTTCGTTGTTGTTGACACAAAAATGACGTATGTTATGTCAAAAGTGTGTAAAAATCTTGTTTGATTTGTTCTTGTACGATAAAAATACTGCAAAACGAATGATAATTTTTCTTGCACTGTGAGATATATTACTTTTTTCTACACTTTTAAATTAATGTACACTTTTCAATTCGTATTTATTCAATTCGTACTCTGTGAAAGAGCCTCTACAACTATCGGTATAATAGGTTTAGCGTTTCGAGGGTTTAACTGCCAAGAAAAGAAGTATTTGCAAAAAATAAGGTTGCCAAATATCAAGGCACCAGATAATTTCCCATCAAATGGGCGACTTTTGAACAATTAATAACTCCAAAAATAATTCATTTTTGATCGAGCAGTTTCAAACCTAAAATAAGTGAAATCTAAGATCTACAGAAGTTTAAATAATCTTACTTCTTTCATTAAATAAGAAGTTTCATATCAATTTTATTATTGCAATTAGTTGTCATATATAATTACCGTGTAATTTTCCTTTCAACAATTTTTTTGTTAGTTTGTCTCTAATGCGGAAAAAATCGAGATAATCGTATAGAAGAATGGAAAAAAGGTGACATATTTTCTGTGAATAAAAGATCTTTATTCAGAACGTTCTTCAGGCAAGAGTTGCTCAGTAATTGTGCGACAACAAATTGCAATAAAAAAAGTTGATAAGAAACTTCCTATTGTATATATAAAACTGATTTTAATGTAAATGTTTTTAGAGATACTGTAGACAAAAATCAGGAAGATACTTCTTGGTATGAGAATAGTATTGATAAATATTTTATACGATTCTTCCAATGGCGCACGATTGAAAAAACACATTGATTTCTTCCATTAAACTTCAAGCTTCAGCAACAACAAATTAGTATAAGAGGCAGAAACCGCGGATAGATTTACAAACTACATTTCGCGATAGAAAACGTTTTAGATCTTACACTTTGAATTTGAGTTGCCACCTGCGAATCGAACGCGGTACGCCACTGCGAAAATAGGCACGGAGTTCTGGTGGGATGTAATGGTTATTCGAAACGTGGAACAAAATGGTGAAACAGGATAATTTATAGAGTTGGACCGGTCCGCGGCAAAGTTCGAGCCGCACGCGTTGAATTTATTTCCATATCGGCGATGGGAGACGCGGCAAAAGCGATTTCTGCATTCTAATCACGCGAACCGGGAGTGAATCTGGATCCGGAGATCGAAGTCACATTGTTTGAGCACCCGGATACTCTTTCTTCCCGGTTTCTCTTCGGCAATGTGAAATCTCAGCCGCAACCTAGCGTCCCTACCCTTCCTCCTCTCCTCCGTCCTCCTCTTCCCCCTTCTTCTTCTGCTTCTTTCGCCGTTTTATTTTTCGCCGCGAATTAATTCGAGATTATGTAAATGGGATATCGGAAGGAGCCGGGAATTGTAAGGAACAGTCGAGAGCGGTCGAGTGAGTTTCACGATTACAAATTAGAACGGAATTCATTAGTATCAGGGCCGTAGAAAGATCGCGTGCAACGAATATTTTGTTTCGCGTCTGCCGGGGACCTCGTTGGGGGCCATCGCCACAGTAAACCTCTTAATTATTCCGATGAATGGGTTCCTTGCGAAATTAACGAATGCTATAAATCGTTCAACAGATTCTGGAGCAGACTACCTAATTTCGCGATTTTTAACACCCTGAATTTGACGGAATCGTTCGAACGGGAGCAGTGTCAGCTGCTGTTTCGTGTGGAAATTAATTATCCAGTCCTTGTTGAATCGATTGCAAATTTAATCACTCTTCTCTCGTTTTATATTTATGAAACTGTGCTAAATTCTTCTATTATGCAACACCTCAGCGGGTGTGTTAAATGATTTCACGAACTTGCAAGACAATTATATGTTCTTGTAAAGATTTTCATAAAATACAGCCAAAAATATGGTACTTTTGAAATTTGTATTGAAGAAACTTTTCTTTTCACTTATTTATTTATTGCGGCATTTGCTTAATAGCAATTAACAACCCCACTTGTGGGTTTACAATCTGTAGGGTTACATGCAGATGTAATGTATACAGTGATTTCTATTTTTGCTGTGTATTCACAGCTGCCCAAGCATTCTTTTTTGTCTGATATAGTTGTACGATGAACAATCTAAAAGAAGATGTTTAACCGCGAGCTCAGCTTACAGTTGTTACAAAGTAATTTATCAATTTTTTAGAGCAGCTACTAATGGGTTGTTTTAGTATGCTTTATCCTAAGTGTAGTTAGTACTTGTTAAAAATACAGCGGGGTTTGTAAAAAATATACTTTTTCATATTTGAAAAATTTCCACTAATATTTTAGTTGAAAAATTTATGGTAGAATATACATAAACATTTAAACAACTGAAACTTGATCGAAAGCGCAAATTCGCAATCCTTTCATTCCAATAGAAGAAACAAAAAACGGGTTGACATGTATTAAATACAATAATAACAGTTGTTTAGAAAAGGAAATTGCACTAAAATTATATATTGCAACGCGAGGATATTCTATATTCCAAGGAATCTTCACTCAAACGAGTCTTCTACTGTAAAACGCATTTTTTCAGTATTTTTTCACAATTTTTGCATAGAGAAACTATGCAACTTCCTGCGTCGGTATTTTATATGTATATTTGTTACACTGTCAACAATATGTACAAATTTCTGCAACGAGAAATAGTCAAGATCCTCGTACGCAATCGCGTATAAAAAAAAATGCCCTCGTGGTTGCCACGATCCCGGCCGGCCTATTTGTACTAAATAAAGAAACGAGAAAGATTCTTAATCAGGCCGTGTTTGGCTATCGCACATACTAAAAGGAGAGAAACAATTTCATAATTAAAGAAATGGCAACACTTTCAAGCTGAAATATCGATTTTTATTGTTTCTTTTAGTTGTACGGACTACAGCGGCACATTATCGAAGATACATGCTAAATATGAACAAAATCGGTTAAGTAGATCTCGAAAAATCATGGCTGTCAATTCAGAAAACATAGTTTCAAGAAAAACGCGTTTAAAGTTTTCTTGTATCATTTAGATCAAAATCACACTTATAGCTAACCTATTAGCCTGGGACCATATAGAGAACTTTTTTCTTTTTTAAAAAAGACCTTGATTTCTCTCTTCTTCTGTAGATCTGCATGGATCGGAACATGTTTTGATCAGTTTTTATGCCCTATGCATTATGTCGTATCGTATGTTTTTGCACATATATTTCGGTGGCAATATTCTTGAAGAAAGTAAAATAAAAATAAAACGATTTTTCGAAGATTCTAAGCCGGAGAACCCCGTTAAAATGAAACTGTTGCACGTTCCAGGGAAACGAAAGCGCCTCAAGCCGAAGAAGAAAATATCAGTGGAGGATCTGAAGCCTCCAAAGATGCTAACACCGTTCGTGATTCAGAGCAAAAGCTATCAAACGCTGGCCGATTTCACGGACCAGTTCGAGAAGCCTACGCAAGAGATGAGAAGGAAGATCCTGAAGCAACGTCTCCTGCCTCCGAGCATCCTGAAAAAGGAGCTGGCACTAGCGAAGTCAGCTATCCGTAGGTGGCAAGAGGAGATCTTAGCCGGCAAGCTCAGCTTCCGCGCGGTGAAGAGGACCATCAGTCTGAAATCGCTGATGAGCACAGCCAGTGCGATGGATCCAGAGTCCAGTGATCAGCTGGCGGAGAAGATGCCTGACCATCCAGAGGCGAGGTCTCGGACTATTTCGATGTTACGAAGAGGCGCCGGCAAGAGAAGGAGGACCAAAGTCACGGTGGAGGATGAGGAAGAACTGATCGAACAAGAGAAGCAGCGACGATGGCAGGAACTGAAGATGAAGGTGAAAGAGTTCGAGTCGAAGCGGCATTCCAAGGGAACCTACCCTAGGATATCCGCTGCAAGAAGAACATCCAAAATGGAAGACGTGCCGTGAGATTAATTAGGTGAACGAGCTTGGAGCGTCTAGGTTGGAACTACTGCAGAAACTGTGTTACGGAAATTCTAGGAGGATTCTTGGATTGCGTTCGTAAGGTGTGCAAGATTGCTTTAGCTACTTTTGGGCGTCGTGGGATCGTAAGATTGGTAGTAAACTGTGGATTCTTGTGCAATTGTGCAGATTTCGGTGCATTTATACGGCGTCTGATGTGTTTATTTCTAGATTTTAAAGTATTTTTTATATTTATTTACGTTTACATGCATTTTATATAAATTTACCTGGAATCGTATGCATTAATACAGATTTCGTTGCATTATTATAAATTTTTATATATCTATACAAATTTGAATATATTCATACATAAATAATTTTAATCGATCAATATAACTTTCGTTGCATTTATATAAATTACGATGAATCTATAAAAATTGAAATCGAGATTTAAATCGATTATAAAGATTTAAACGGTGATAGCAGATTTTGACGCATTCATACAGACTTCAATGCAGTTATTTAGATTTAATACAGGTTTTTCTAATCTATTTCTAATTTCCAATCTTTTTAATTTAATCTATTTCTACAGATTTTGATATATTCATTTAGATCTTAATTCATCTGTGCATTTATATAAATTTTGATGTTTCTATACAGATTTGAGGCAGTTGTATATTACAAATTTGATCTATACAGATTTCTATGCGTGAGCAAAATATTCTTAAATTCCGTTTATGTCTTCACCGATTTGTATATCATACATTCGCTGCATCATTAGACCGTGCATCTTAATGGAAAATAAAAATCCTTCGCATGAAATGCCAGAAACAGGTGTCAGACACAAGTTCTTTTCTTTCTTTAACGATCTTAACCAGCCGAAAGGCTTCTTGGATTCGTTTAATCTGCCCGCTGCTTTAAATTGCACCGATTCATATTTGTCGTAAATGCACAAAATTCGCAGTCTATTCTGTTCGTCTGAAACGTCATCCGCCAACTTCCGTCAAAAATAAGCATAATCCGCAGTTTTCCGAAGCAACCGATTCTACAAACAAAAGAGCAACCACAAATCAAGAAGTTTGACAAGCAATTCCTAAAGAGGAGTTAATCTACCCTCTAAATGGCGGAATTGGACATCGACCAGGTCCAGTCGAGTGCCCAAAATATCAGCGTAAATCATCGGATGATCGTCGAGGAGCCAGCGCGTCGTCGACCGGACATTCTATTTTCTTGTCCGCGGCATTTCGACGGAGTCTCGGAATACTTTCGCAAAGTTATCCGTGGAACTCGCAGAATTCGGAGTATCTTCGGGAAGAATCGCGTTCTACGGACCCGACGGTCCATCAGCGACCCCAAAATACGCGAGAACGGGACATTCACTGAGCGAAGTGTCTCTTCGGAGGCAGACGACGATTCTGCTCGAGTGTGTCGGAATACGTTGTCAAGGAGCTGGAGGGTAGCAAATTGTTTACCAGGAAATAGTCTAGTAGAGCCGGTTACTGCGGGGTGATCAATTGCTGTGCCTCTGGTTACCTTTCCGATATAATGCACATTATATTTATCGGGTAAGACATATTAAATTTTGTTATTCTTTCATTTCGTTTATTCCTGAATACAAATATTCGATATAATTAATTTGATAGATATAAATGTAACGGGTACGCACAGTTTTCCACGGGTGATATTCACTGATGTATGTACGTCTTCTGTTGAACCCAATGTGCAACGAAGGTGTCGTAATGTTCCAAGAATGATTGAAGCAGTAGTTTGAAACAAATGCGTACATTTTAAAAACACTGCGACAAAGAAGACTCCAACAACGAACGATGAGATTCTAATGACGGAAGACGAGATTCTAATAACGAACGATGAGATTCCAATGACGGAAGACGAGATTCTAATGCGGACTTCGTCGGTCCGTAGAAACGTGGAGGTAAGAAACCGCTGCACCAATTAGAGATAGCCTATCGGGGCAGAGACTATGGGGGGTGGCTCCGACAGTTTGATGCCAAGAACGGTGCCATCGCGCACAATGACACTCGCTGTATCCCATGGAAATACGGGAAATAAACAGTGGAGCCCCCTTGGCGCCCTGTGTGGGTTTAGGCCATGCCAAGTGCCATTGAGAGCGGCACGACTTTCCCAGGAAAGCCAGCCGATACCCTTCGGCCCCACCCGAGTTATAAACTAATAAAATTGTCAAAGACACACTAAAACTAGTCTCAAAAATGGCGACGTCTAAATCGATCGTAGCTTAAACCCAAACAGTGAGACAAAACGGTGCGACAAGGTACGCGTCGCGATAAGAAAGATAATTATGTCCCAAAAACAAACCAAAAGCATAGCAATCGATCATCCTGCAGTAACCGGCTCCATTACCCTTGTATCGAGCTGAGAGACGTAGAATATTCGTCTCGACGATTCCTGCAGAAAGATCTCGGGACACTCTGACCTGAACGAGCTACTGTGTATCGCCGCGGGACAAGGATAGCCGGGATTCAGCGCAGGTTTTTTTCAAAGGAGAGCTTTCCTTAGGCATTCAAGATATCGTGCGGAGGCCCAGGAATCGCAAGGAAGACAAACAATCTCGTGGAAAAGTTTCGCGAGCCGAAGAAACCGGAGAAGCTCGTTCAAGACTTTTCTATCGTGAGCAGGAAGTTTGCTCGCCGATATTACGCATTCGTGATACGGAACCGTCGAAAGCCCGGGGATAATAGTAATAGGGATCAGAAACAAAACAGGGCGACATCGATGTCATGGGTGAAGATGCCATGGTTAACATCCTGGGATGTTAAGGTATGTATCTTTTCAGCTGTTATGCTAATTAGAATGCTGATTTGTCGTAACTTCGTGCGAGAAATTGGTGATTGGAGCGGCTCGCTCTGTGTCATGTTTCTGCTTTTAATTATATTTAATACAATTTTATTGAAATATTTTTAAGCAACTTATTTTGTTAATTATTTGCCATGCAGTGAAAAATTAGAGTAAGTATTATCATTTCGTTTTGTTCGTTAATTTTGAATTCTTATGGTAGCTACTCGATGATAGGGAAAAGCAGAGCTCGTTTAGAAACGTGATAATTAGACTTCGGATCTTTACGCAGTTATGATTAGACTGCGAATCTTTACGCACTTATGTTTAGATTGCGTATCTGTATGCAGTTATGTTTAGATTGCGGAATTTTATGCATTTATAGTAAAAATGAGTCAGTAAAATACAAAAAAGAAGACGCATTAAAAGAAAAAATGTATAGCATAGTCCTAAAGTATAGTCCACACGCGACAAGAAGGCACCTTTGTGTAATATTCCTCCTCTTACTAGCTGCGGCAACTAGTAAGAGAGAGAATATAAACACGAAGGTGCCTTCTTGTTGCTTGAAGACTGTACTTATATTATTTTCAACGTATATAAATCATTAAAATGGAAAATAAATTACGCAACCTTTGTTTGATAGAATTCAGATAAAATATTTTTATTTTTCATATAAATCCACAGTCTAAATATAATACAAGCTAGTTTGCAAGAAAATGCAAGAAATGTGCACGTTGATGGGAATTACTTGTATCCATTATTTTATGTTCACCATGAAGAACTTTCTAGATGACGTAAAAAAGTTTTCCCTTCTATAGGTCTTTAACTATCGGATTGCGGTTACCGGGTGATTTTGACCAAGTATATTTTAATATATTCTTATAATTGTAATTATACAATTTTCGGTAAATAAATTAAATAAATTACTGTTACAATGGAATTGTATCTTGAAAAGTTTGTTTCGAAAATTTGAGAAATACAACTGAGGACGGTCATAAATAGATGAATTATATACTTGTGAAAATGATTAATGAAAATGAGAATTTGCTTAAAGATCCACGTTCTAATTATCTAGTGAACTACTAGCAAATGAATTATTAGGACCTTATTCAAATTTATGTTGGCAGACATCAATTTAAAGCAATGTAACTGAATGAATAAACTAAAAACTATGGAATGTGTATTGCAACATTTTACTGCACGAAGTTATGACAGAAAAGCTGGTACAGAACAACGACCAACAGGACTCGAAACTTTTAACAGTATTGGAGCCGGGTTTAATATTTTCCTGTAGCAAGAAAAAAATGTTCTCTCCGATGGTACGATTCTATTCTGATGAATTAAAAAGCACTTGTGTAACGCCCTGTTTGTGACTACTCGGTTTAAATCCAAATCTCCTGTCCAACGATCCTTGTTTCATCTCGTGCTTCATATTATTTTCAACTTTATCATTAAGGGAAGGCTTTCATGCTTATCACTGTTTCCACAAAATATTGTGCAACCTCCTGATATCATTTTATTACTCGTAATGTTTTTCACGCTTTTGTAAACACCGTACGTGAGAGTGATACTTCGGATAAAACAATTAAAAGCTTTGGTTTTCCCGATAATGTCTGTTTTTCACGAGTTTTATATACGTACAAACCCTTCGTTGATAAAAAAAATGCATGAGAAGTGTAAACAAGGGAGTTAAATTAAATTAAATTCATTATTTGTTCGTTAAAATTAGACACGTAGAAGACGGAAGTTCTTAAATTAGCAGAAAAATCAATTCAATTTTTATATACTGAATTTACGAAATTTTCTGTAAGACTTATAAACGGACTGCGAATGTTATGCATTTATGGTGACATTGAATAGTTGTAATTTAAAACAATAGAAAGTATAAAAGAACTTAAAAGTATCAATGTGTTACTTTTAATCTATTAAAATGATTAGTGAACAAAAGAGTATACTTGCAGTATAGTTTTTATTTCTTTCAAATGATGCAGACAATTTTTATTTTGCATACAAATCCGCAGTCTATTTATGAAAATGCTTAAGAAAATGCTGAACGAATGAAGATTCATATTTGGTAAAATAAATTATTTTAGTTATNATTTAAAACAATAGAAAGTATAAAAGAACTTAAAAGTATCAATGTGTTACTTTTAATCTATTAAAATGATTAGTGAACAAAAGAGTATACTTGCAGTATAGTTTTTATTTCTTTCAAATGATGCAGACAATTTTTATTTTGCATACAAATCCGCAGTCTATTTATGAAAATGCTTAAGAAAATGCTGAACGAATGAAGATTCATATTTGGTAAAATAAATTATTTTAGTTATNTAATTATACAATTTTCGGTAAATAAATTAAATAAATTACTGTTACAATGGAATTGTATCTTGAAAAGTTTGTTTCGAAAATTTGAGAAATACAACTGAGGACGGTCATAAATAGATGAATTATATACTTGTGAAAATGATTAATGAAAATGAGAATTTGCTTAAAGATCCACGTTCTAATTATCTAGTGAACTACTAGCAAATGAATTATTAGGACCTTATTCAAATTTATGTTGGCAGACATCAATTTAAAGCAATGTAACTGAATGAATAAACTAAAAACTATGGAATGTGTATTGCAACATTTTACTGCACGAAGTTATGACAGAAAAGCTGGTACAGAACAACGACCAACAGGACTCGAAACTTTTAACAGTATTGGAGCCGGGTTTAATATTTTCCTGTAGCAAGAAAAAAATGTTCTCTCCGATGGTACGATTCTATTCTGATGAATTAAAAAGCACTTGTGTAACGCCCTGTTTGTGACTACTCGGTTTAAATCCAAATCTCCTGTCCAACGATCCTTGTTTCATCTCGTGCTTCATATTATTTTCAACTTTATCATTAAGGGAAGGCTTTCATGCTTATCACTGTTTCCACAAAATATTGTGCAACCTCCTGATATCATTTTATTACTCGTAATGTTTTTCACGCTTTTGTAAACACCGTACGTGAGAGTGATACTTCGGATAAAACAATTAAAAGCTTTGGTTTTCCCGATAATGTCTGTTTTTCACGAGTTTTATATACGTACAAACCCTTCGTTGATAAAAAAAATGCATGAGAAGTGTAAACAAGGGAGTTAAATTAAATTAAATTCATTATTTGTTCGTTAAAATTAGACACGTAGAAGACGGAAGTTCTTAAATTAGCAGAAAAATCAATTCAATTTTTATATACTGAATTTACGAAATTTTCTGTAAGACTTATAAACGGACTGCGAATGTTATGCATTTATGGTGACATTGAATAGTTGTAATTTAAAACAATAGAAAGTATAAAAGAACTTAAAAGTATCAATGTGTTACTTTTAATCTATTAAAATGATTAGTGAACAAAAGAGTATACTTGCAGTATAGTTTTTATTTCTTTCAAATGATGCAGACAATTT